GGGGAACCTGCCTCATGGGGGGTGAGCACCGTTTTATAGCCCGGCGGCTGTCGAAGCAATGCCGTTTTTGGGCCCGGCGGCCAATGCATCAGTTGATTCTATGGGGGTGGCCGTGACTTCCGGTGAAGGTCCAGTGGAAGTGGTACGTTGGGGTTGTTGAATTCCGATGCAAAAAGCGGCGCCCCTGTGACGGGGATCACACTCAGCACCCGAGTGGGACGGCTGAGCGAAACACACTCTGACACTTGTATTCAGTGACTCAATTACCACGATGGGAAGGATGGCGATGGAACCGCAAGGTGGCAAAGTCCGCTGACAAGTATTGTTGAACAATGTTTCCGACAGCTTGCAAGTGGAAGCGGCGTCCAGTAGCTGCAGAGCGGTGGGAAACCTGTTTGTGGGGAGTAGCATGAAGGACCATGGAAGCAAACCGAAAGTGGAAAAGCTTAAGCAACAGTTCCGTCAGCGCAGGTACGCCAGGATGGCCAATCCTGGTATCCCGTGTTCAGACTAGCTTCGTTGGGCGTAGTCATCTGAACACGCTATGCCCCCCCTGCATGTCGAAACCCTTTGTCCAGGGGTGGACACACACACACACTGCAAACCCTGAGAAAAGCGAAGGGTCGCATGTCTTCTGAGCAGAACCTCAACAGTTAGTGACACTGTGCGAGTTTAAAACATATTGAAGGCATGTCTGCAGGCTTCACCCCAGCCGCGAGATGTTTGAGCGCGTAGCTCACGAGGCTAATCAAAATCATAATCTATCCGTAGAACACCGGGCATATGAAAATGAAATGTACACTGACGGTATAGCTGCCGCAGAGATACTTCATCATGGTGTTCATGCAAGACTCTGCTCATGTTGGCATCGCATCAAACAACCAAACCATGCGTGCTTCTAGCAGATTCTAGCATTGACCTGTGCGTAAAGGAAAGGGTGAAGGAGCGCGTGAATCAACATGTGGCTGAGTCAAGAAATGAGTGCGTGAAACAATGAATGTTTGTAGTCTGGGTGCTTGGTGTACGACAAATTCGCCAAATATCAGCCCGGAGCCGACACAACCTACTTCTCGCACTACAGTGGTACTACAAACTCGCCAGTCCTGAACCGCACTGACAATGCGCAGGGGATTCCCTGATCCCATTGCTTCTGTGACTGCTACTGCTGTATATAGAATATATTGTAATACTAATAATGCACGCTACTAGGCCAAACTCCCTGGGATTGTTTTGGTGGGGCGCATGCTATTGAATCTCCCTCAAATCAAGATTTGAGATTGTGACTGGCAATGGTTCAGTCCTCCCGCTTCGAACTGGACGCCCAAACTGCGCAGCACATCTTCAACTCCCAATTTTCGCTTGTCACCTGGATGCCGTTTGACAAGGAGAAAACACCAAACAAAAAAACAAAATAGAAAGGGGGTCATCTGCGGCATCTTGCCAGACAATCCAGGCAGCTGAAGCATCCCTCATCCAGGAGTTGGTCATCAACAAAAAACTCATGTGCCTGATCTGCAGCTGAAGCGCCCGGTGTAACTGGTTCATGTCTTTTGTCGAGTGAATCATCAAATCCTGAAGATCAAGCATGGTCTGACCACATCACTGCACCAAAGAACACGGGTATAAAGCCCTAAAGATTGGACAGCGGCCTCCTTCGAACCAGTTGGCAAGTCCAATTCTATAGGTGGGCCGGCAAGGCCACCTCTGGTCAAATTTGGTTCTGTGTTTGTGTATGCGTGCATAAGATCTTGCTGGTTGATATGCGCAAAAAGGGGCGCGTGACTTGCTTTACCAAAGCGGAGCATTTACATGGTCGGAGATGTGATCTTCCACTGCGTTGTCTTATATCAATTTCAAGCTTGGAGCAGTCATGAGCAATCCTTTTCAGCGTGCCAACTAGCTCAAAGCGCCTGATCCAAGCCGAAACGGCCACAAGGTATGGTTGAAACAGCTCAGAATCACACCTGTCTTATCTTCAGGTGTGTTGGGGCTTCAGCTCAAACATTTGTACAACAAAGCAGTATGTCCCTGCAACTCTATTCCACGTGGCCATGGAAACCTGGTCTTTCCATCCGAATTGTGGCAAGTCTTCATGAAACATTCTTGCGACCTTTCTCACGCGAGCTGTCATCAATGTCGACGAGACCTGTGTCGAAGGTCTTCAGGAGGTCGTCAGGCTTCATGCTCTTTGTGAAAGGGTCTGCGAGCTGTTTCGCTGTCCTGATCCACTTCAAGTTGTCTCCGTATGGGTTGTACACTTTCGACGTCGTCTCACCATTCACAGTCCATACACCTTGCCATATAGGGCTGCAAGCTCAATGCCAAGTCTTGTCTTGCACCTTCCGTGTTGTTGTTTCAGCCAATATTTGGTCTGACAATGACCTGCAGTCCGTCAAGTACATGTGCTCTATCTTCTTCTGGGTCTCTTCGTGCCAATTTTTCACGTCGCAAATTTCTACCTTTCAGTTCACAGATCAGGCACCTCAATCTATCTCCATGCTCAACTGCCATCTGGAGTGCATATGCTTCTGCTTGTAGCGTTGCTCGACGAATACAGTAAAGGATCCTTCCCTGTTGGCTCTTGTAGCCTTCTTCATTTGCAAAACTACCAATCGATTCTTGAATGTGATCTGAAGGTCACTTCCCTGGAGTGCCACTTCAATAACTTTGTTTGCCATCTTCAAGTCTTCGCCGGTTGCTCTCTGCATTTCATTCGCGCGAAAACACAAGTCTGGTCGGCCATAGCGGGCAACTCACGCAAGGCTTCCCACAACACTTCTCAAGCTTGGGAGTTCCTTTTCCGTCACCTTGTCCGTCAATTTTCGGTTCTTATCGATCTCAATTGGCTTGACTGTCTTGCAGCCCTCCCTTGTGGAAACGTTCACTGAAAAATCCTCACGCTGTACGAACTGTCGTCCACAGTAACGGAACTTGCCACCTTCAGTCTTTCCGATGGTGAACTTCTTCAAGATGTTCTCGATTGTGCTCTTGCCTAAATTCTTGCCTTCATCAAGGTAACAGTAAAGCAGATCGTCAACGTGAGTTGCGATCACGCCAATCAACTCTCCCTTGGGGTTGCGCAAGTAGTACAAAGCCGGGGTGATCTTACTGCACTTTAGGCCTCCGCTCGCGATCTCCCCATTCATGCGTAGGTAGAAACCACAGCTTGCGTCAATGGTTCCATAGATCGGCAGTCTTGCGATCAAAGCGGCGTCCGATGGTACGTCATCACACGGAATGCCTCCCCTTTGTTGCGTCATGAGCGCAAGTCTACTCATGGGATTCGACTGGCACTACTCACGTCAGCGCAACCGCACTGAACCTTTTGTATCACGATCATATAGTCGCCGCAGGCAACCATCCTGCTGTGATGCGCGCGTTCATATCTCTCTGTGTTCAGAAGATGTGCATTTTTTTCGACATCGACCCACTGTGACGGTATGAGTTGATGCCCTTCGTCCAACAGTTGCTGAAGTTGCTGACCAAACACCAGTATTGCGGCGTTGAAATGCTGGTGTTTCTTCCACTCTTCTTTGCGTGCCTCGAAGACGCGCTTTTGCGCCTCCGGTGGGCACTTGTCGAAGACCAAGGTTCTTGAAACATTTCTTTCCTGAGTTGCGGCCTCTTCACGTGCGACAAAAGCCTTGTAATCAGCCATCAGGCAGAATCAAAAGATTCATCTGCAGCAACCACGGCGGCGAGCGGGTCTGTTACCCGGGAGAAAACGGTGAAACCTGTCCAAGCCCGCGAATCAACATTGCTCACTCCCAACATTGACTCGCTGGTCTCTCTGCGTCCATCTGTCAAAGATCTTCCTGGTCATGTCTTCCTCCACAGCCTTCGGGCACATCTCTGTTTTGCATCGGATGGTATTCGTGGTGCTGCTTCTTGCTGTGTACCCGAATAGCATGTTGTTGTGAGACCCTCCAAAATAATCTTCGCCATTCATTGTTGCCATCGTGACTGCATCTTCCCCTTCAAGTCCACCAGGCGTCATAGGTGCAGCACTTGCAGATGATCGGGCAGACTTGCCCGCCCTATCTTCTGCTTGAACTTGTCTCTTCTGTCCTCGCTTGGGATTTGCCTCACCCTCCATCATGCGAATGTATTTCTGCTTTCCCATATAGTGATGGCATCTCGGAGCACTGGAATGCCGTTGCGAGTCAAGTATGCCAAAGATTCACTCTCATTGGCTGATCTGAATGTTCCATCGCTACACAAAACAGGCACTCCTTCATGCAACAACCAAATACCATTGTATGTGGATCAACGCCAATCACTCGAGGCAGTGGGTCACATGGTTCCACCATTTGGGGGTCTCGACGGTAGACCACCAGGTCTCCAACCACAAATGTCTTCTTGTTCTGAACTGCTGCATGTCTGGTGAGTGCTCTTGCAACACGGGAACTGGTGTCCACATGAACGAAAGCTTTCTGGGCAGCCGTTCGAGAAGCATGACGCAAGTGGTAACTTGGTTTAAAAATACACAGGTTACCAGCTTCCTCCATGTCAGTGATTGATCCAGGAATACGTGGATTTCGTTTCAGGACCCAGTGCACAGGAGAATACCCTTGGACTCTCTGCATCTGATTCTTCACGGACGTGCGCTCGTGAAGGCATACCTCAAATGCATCCTTGCCAACTGCTTCCGTGTCATGGATTGTCTTCCTGAGAGTTGCCTTCAGGATCGCTTGGTGTCGTTCAACCTTGCCGATGGCTGACGGGATCTCCAACGGTGCATAGAACATCTCAACTCCGTGCGAAGCAAGCAACTTGGAAACTTCTTTCCTGTTGTGAACAGCTCTTGGGAATCCAGCCCAGCTGACCCGCCTGCGCATGATTGCCTGTGCGCAAGCCTCTGGTGTTGGCACTACTCCACCTTCTTTGACATCTCTCTGATAGGTGGAATCCAGTTGAGATATCCAACATGGTCAAAATGCTGAACTTTTTTCCTGCATAAGGCGGTGCCCTGTCGTTCACCATCGTCATAAGATTCATGGAGCTGCAAATAACCACCTTCTGCCACGGTGAGCTCCTTCAAATACTCCAGGTTCCCTGGCAGGTGTATCCAGAGACCTGGCAGGCACCCACTCGCTCGTGAGCGACCACACACTAGAGCTTGAAACCAAAAGGTGGTGAGCACAACAACTCGTGCATTCACTGCGATCATGACACTCGTGGCAAGGTAAATACGGTAATTATACACTACATTCCATTACTACGCTGCACTACCTTCCTACATGCTGCAGTTTGATTCTGTGTGCATATATTTATGTGTCTTACTAATCTTACTATATTGAATGACAGGTTGTTAAAACATGATGTTCTTGTGCAGGATCTTGCAGGGTCTTCTTTCAGAAGCCTGCGTACAGCAATGACACGGGCATTATGTTGGGCCATTATGTGACGCATCCAAATTCCATTATATACCGTCGCCGTAACCCAAATACCCTGGGGCTAAGTCGTCCCCCGGAGCGCTTGTCAAGAGTGCTTCGTGCAAGGTTGGCAGTTGCATGATCGATCGTGTCTACCTTGATTATGATACCAGTCAGCAAAGGCCATCAACCATAGTTTGATACATCCCGATTCCTGAAGAAAATGTGGTTTTGCAGCGTCAGCAGTGGAGACTGGAGTGATCTGTATGTAGTGCAAATCTTTGATGATGACCACCGACGGGGTCACCGGAATACAACACCTGCCTTGAACAAGTTTGTCATACGTTCGAAGTGGATGGAACATGATGGAACCAATATCACTTACCTCATCATATGTCAAAACCATGTTTCAGGCTACCCACACACACCCCAAGTCCTGGATCTGAGGTCCAGTTGCCCCAGCTGTAATTGTGCGATTCCTGAACAGGGCCACTGCAAAAATCTGAGCCCATGACAGGATTGCAGAGAGGTTCTGGAACCGAACCGGAACCGTGAACCGAACCGCGGTGAACCGGAATCGCCAAGCGCCAAACCGAACCGGGCACCCCAGCGAACCGGAGTCTTACGTGGTTGAAACCGAAACGGTTTCCAGGAACCGAAACCGCAAACCCCGAAACTAAACCTCACCGACACCGAGCTGAGAACAGGTAATGCCCCCTGTAAAAGAGCAATCAGTGTTATGGAGAGGCAACCAAAAAGCAGTTAGTGCTACGGACAAGCCACCAAAGAGCAATCTGTGCTACAGGAAGACCTTTGCTGGGTGCATCTGGGCGCTGACCTTTGCTGCTGTCTCCCTGTTTGCAAGTCGGCCCTTCGCTATTTTAATCTATTTTAGCCTTAGCAAGTGTTCCCGTGCTCCCTGTCAACTGTTCCAGGCACTTGTATCACTCACAACAACATGGTGGCTAAAATTATGACCCCAGTAAAATGATGGGGTCCAACATCAGGAACCAATTTTCTCTGAACTCTGGGGTCGGCCCCAGCAAAAATGACTACCTGTTGCACCCCTGGGACAACTATTGTTGTCCTTATCCAATAAAGTAATGCTGTTGGAAGATTGGGCAGGACTTGTTTTCCTGGACAACTTTTCAGGGTACACACCTTCTTTTGCGCAACTTGAACGTAGCGTGAACGCCCTTTGAACGCGGTTCGGAGATGGTTTATGGAAAGGCACGTGCAAAACCGTTCAGGCATTTAAAAGGGGGGCTACACTTCCGAACTGGGACGTACAAATATTTGAAAACTAAGCTATATACAACTTTTGTCTGGGTACTTTTATCATCCCATTCTAGCCAGGCTGGCCAAACGGCTCTTTTTTGCAGCTTATTCTATTGCGGTTTGGCTAGCTCCAGTCATCCTAAAAGCACAAACACAGCTGAATCCTACCGCAAGAGTGTGTAGAGCCAGGAGGGAGTGGTGGGAAGAGTAAGAGATTGGCATTTTCTCTCTGAGAAGCCTCTAAAACTCGTTCCTCTCCAATCACAAAACCACCAGCTCCAGGAACCGCCGTGAATCACGAATCGACACACACACACACACCGCGAACCTAACCGACGCATACAAACCGGACCAAACCGCTGGTTGCCCAAACCGACCACCGAACCGAAACCGCTCGAACCGCGTGCTCCGCAAACCGAAGTGAACCGGTTCCACCCTGGGATTGGTGGATGCAAAAGAGAATAGAGACCACCGTGTCACATGACAATGAACTGGTGTGTTCGATATGTTCGATACTAGTTGAACATTATGTTGAAACCTGTGGAAACTCTTGTAGGTTGCAATATACCGCTTGAATTGAAATCGGAGTGGCTACCCTGCGATCCACCAAAACTGCAGCCAAAGTCAAGTCTCCTCTTGAAGAGTGCTTAGCACTCCCAACATGCCTTTGGATGGTCGCTCCGCAAGAATGACATGCAAATAGCATGCCCAGCAAACCCACTGCAAGGGCCTTTTCGACCCCTCTGCCATGCCACCATGGACGGAGTATGAATTTGGCAGTTGAACTGCTTCTCTGTTGCTATGCTGGAGCCAAGGTGAAGTGTCACGAGAGTGCTGGGTGTTGCCTCCAACAAACTGAGTGTAAATTACTGGAGATTGCATCTGCAAATATTATCTGCTGCAAGGGCTTACCCACTCATCAACCTGTCAATGGACCGAACTGATCGAATCGGCGGCCATTCCCCCAATCCCCAATGCCGACTAAGATTGCACAAACTTGGCAGCCACCGAGATGGACTCCATGACTAAATGAGCCATACAAAGATCGACTTTGTAAATTTATGAATGAATATCTACTTCGATTTATTCATATGCCGTATAGCCAAAAAAAACACGTGCTGTAACTGCAGATTGTATAGTGTAAGCTAAAACTGGATCGACACAATACAATGATTGTCAATGTGTCAAGCTGTTCTTTCGATATCCTTTGATACTTCAAACTTGATCAAAATTGGGCCTGTCACTTTTTTTCTACCCTTTGCCCCCCCAGAGTTCACAGTCAACAAGTCTGATCCCAACAGACTTGTGCATTGACCTTGTTGGCACTCATGGCCAATCCAAAGGCATCAAACATCTGTCTTTGATGCGTCTCGCTTTGATGAGAACCTCAAAATGATCACATCATGCCTTGATCTCACCCTGAAAAATGCCTTGGACTTTGCGGACAGAGGATCTAAGTCACCCTGGACTTGTACAATGGCCATGTTGGACATGTAATTGCTTCATTCATGTCAGGCTCTAGCCTCGTGCTTTTCAGGCCGCTTTCAACTCACTTCGCCACCCCTGCCGACAGTCAAGCGAACCAGTGACCAGGTGCACCAACCGGATAATCGGATGTGTAAGTAGAGATTGCACTAGAATATATTAGAATATATAATATGTTAGAATAGGGAAACCCCACTGGAGACCCTGTGATCCAATGCGGTAGACTGGTCTATTTTCCTTCGTCTAGGGGGTTCGTTGCCTGATAAGTCTCCCTATTTCAATCCACACCACACCATTGCTCCAATGGAAACAACCTCTGTATGATCTGCAACAACTGTTGTAGTGACTCAAACATGTCTCAGTGCGTTTATTGACGCGATCTTGGATCTGAAGAGTTGGACACAAAGCTTTGCGAAGCCCAAGTGAATATGACCACATCTGCCACCTTCTTGGACTTGGTCACTCTGGAGCAGTTGAACCTCAAAACTCCGCAGCAGCCATTCATGAGTTCATTTCACAAAGGCTTGATATGCTGGGTGTGTAGGAAATAAGGAGACCCCCTTTCTCGCCCTGATCGCCTGAGTAGACTGGTCTATTTCCCTTCACCGAACCCAGAAAGTCGGAAGGCCTGGCAGGTCTTCCTATTTTAATACACACCCCTATCATCATCATATTACATCCCATATCTATGATCAAACTCGTTGTGCTGTTTTGTCACCCAGCAAATCAAAGGCTTGCGTGTCCTAGCTGCCTAGCTCTTGGAAAGCATGCGCAAAGAAGCACGCTGGAAACAAATCTAAGCTGTGTGCCACTTGATGATGACCATTCGCATTGGCGAGCTCAAGCGCAGAACGCTTCGTAGGGGCGGACGCCAAGGATGCATCCAAAAAGGCTTGCACCACGTGAGCATGGCCCTCCAACGTTGGCTCGGTTCAAACAAGGAAGCTCAATTATATAATTTGTCTGGTACAAAGTACAAAAGGCAAACAAGAACCAAGCAAATAACATCGAATCAAATTCATCGAATAGCAATTGTTGGTCATTCGAGCACATGTCAATGTTGGATTGTTCGTTCTGAAAACATTTAAACTTTAAAACAAGCGCTTTCAAATATATTTGCAGAATGCAGAGTTGTTGGACAAAGTACAGCTGACGCCTTATCGGCTGCGAACATCATTGCCAATTGAGCTGCACCGTCTCCACCGAGATGCCATTTCCCAGATTGAAGTCGGCCGTAGGCCAAGAAGCATTTCACAATCTCAAGATGCCCGCCGAAGGCCGCGTAGACCAGAGCCGTTCGGCCTTCCTTATCTTCCCTCTCCACTCGTGCACCATACTGGAGCAAACATCGCACAATGTCCTGGCGTCCATTGAAGGCCACATGCATCAAAGCAGTCCATCCTCGTTCATCGGCATACTCCACGTCTGCCCCCCTGGAGACCAGGAAATCTGCCATTGACACATGGCCATTGTATGCAGCAGCAATTAATGGAGTCCACTTATCATGGCTTTGAGCATTGACATTTGCAGCATGTTCCACTAAGCAGTGCGCAATTGCAACGTGCCCGGATGTGGCAGCATACATCAAAGCTGTACACTTACAGGAATCCGTGTCATCCACCCAGCAACCGGCTCGCAACAAGCTGGTCACCCTCTGCAAATCACCTGCTCGCACTGCATGCATCAGCTGAGTCCGGCCTGCATCATCTTTGTCAGTTCCTGGATGACTCTGAGTCATTGGACCTGTCTGACTGCTTCGACCGGTGACCGCGACTTTCACCGTGCGTTCCCTCTTTTCGGGTCGCTCAAGCCTTCCCTGACTGGCCGAGCGGCTAGGCACAGGCGGTGTGGCATAGGGCGTGGTGCAAGAGCCTATGCTGTGCCTGGATGGACGGGACCACATTCGCATGACCATGCGAGTGGGACTTCGCGCATCTCTCACATCCCTGACATCTGGTACCGGAGGTGTACGGGCACGGGAATCTTTTGCTTCAAAGCGTGAGGGAATCTTTTGTGGCGACTCCCGTGGAGGACTGATCGTGCGCGCTGCGAGTGGTGCAGCGCGGTTTTGGGCACCAAGGCTGGCCCGACTGGGCATGGACAGCGCAATGGGGCTCAAGAGCCGGGAGGGGATCTGCGAGCGCCGCGTCCTCAGAATCGGAGACATCTCGCGCGAGGGGCTGCGGTTGTGATCTTTCGCACGCCTTTGAGGTGGTATCACCACCTTGTGCATCACTGGGCCTTTTCCATCGGTCTTCGACTTGTCCCTCAGCTCCTCAGGAGTGATCACCTGGGGTTGGACCGGCCGCGCTTGCTTCAGCTCACTGACTCTGGAGTCACAAGACGGGCTGCCGAAATTGGAGGAAGTCGGGGTGCCCAGCTACTCCACTCACTTAGGGACCAAACACCACCCCGACATGTGACCCCTGGTTGATGTTTGTTCTTCTTTTATTCTTTTTCCTCATCTCTCCGTCTCTGTCTCTCACTCTCTTTCGTTTTCGAGGCCATCACCAGCGTGTCGCTTGTTGGGATCTTGGCCAAGTCACCTGGCAGAACGTGCTGATCCGCTCTGGAAGGACTGGGTCTGGAGTGTTTTTAAAGGAAAACCCCCCTGACCGAATGGGTAGACCGGTCTATTTTCCGAACCTTCCAAGGGGTCGGAACACCTGGGAGGTCTCCCCATTTAAATATACACGACCCATACTGTATCCCTTTTGGCGAGATGCACAACGCACACAAAGTACATGTGGAAATCCAGGCCAGGATGGCCAGCCACATGGGCACTCTTTCATCTCTATTGAAAGAATTCAATACACACCAGCCCTGAATTTCAGCCCGCACATTTGGGGCGTTGAACATCATTAAAACACGTGGTGGTAAATTGGAACATCAACTTTAGACAGCATGACATTGGATACATCATGATTCATCACTAGGGTGAGGAAATCTCCAACTCGGCTGCTTGGCCTATTGTCCCGCGGCTCTCTTCTCCAACCTCCTGAAGTACGGATCAAGGGTTTCGTAGGATACCAGCAGCATAAAGGTAGCTTGCGTCTCAAAGCGCAGAACTGAAGCAATATGCAGCCATGCATGCAGAACTGATGCCAATCTACAGTACATATAGAATATTCTAAAAGTATCTAAACGTGAAGTTTGGGAGTAGGGACCGATCTTGGATTTCATTCAACACTTCATGTGAATGCTCCACATAGCTTCCCGGTCGGGCATGAAGTTGGAACCTCCAAGTAAACGCATGTTGGAAGAATATCCAAACCAGCTTGCTAGCACCAAATACAATCAATAATGGCCAATAGCAGCAAACATATCCACAAAACAAATTGTCCAAAGGGCTCGTGAAGCCGTCCTAAGGGCTAGTTCACCTTCACTTTGCAGTACAGTATGGATTCTTTCGCTGGTGGACCTCCAACTCAAGTGATGCGAAAAAAGGTCCAACAACAAAAAGAACACAACCACGCACAACAACCACAACAACCACAACAGCAACAACAGCAACAACAACAAACATATAAACACAACCACAACAGCAACAACCACAACGACAACAACAGCGACAACAACCAAACTTATATAATATATACTCATTATATAATAAGCCTATGTAAGTCCGTTCAACCTCGGCCGATCGATGCTCCACTACACTCAGATCGATGCTCCGAAGGATGGACCGGTCTCTCCTCTAGCCCATCCTCACAGCTTTCAGGACCTAGCAGACGTCGCATTGACCGAACCACAAAACGCTCGGAACGAAACGGATCGAAGCAGCGTCAAACGGCATATACAATCCAAACAAGTGCACGCACGCACACATCATTGCGCGGTGGATCCGAGGTAACTATATATTATTCCTAAAACCAGGATACTGTGATGTGTTGGGTCTATCCGAGTCTACCTGGGCCCAGTGGATGATGATGGTTCAGTTGCAGGCCTTGTTTAAAACAAATAATTGTTTACTGACTGTTACAGGTAATAGGACGGACCCAAGTGATGTGTATGGCTCGTATGACTAACAAGTTAGTTGATGACAGAACATCAAAAGTTGTCCTGGGTCCTCTGATTCTGAGCTGCTCAGGTACAGGCCGGTCAGCATGCTTTTGGATTGTGACTGACAGCCTTTTCAGCTTGCTTGCAACTTCAGTTGTCATCAGTGTCCTTTCTGCAAGTTGCAGCACAGCACATCCCTGCCCTGGTTGAAAAGGCAAATTCTCAGTGCAACACGGGTGCTCTTTTGGAGAGTGGTCACCATG